TCTCCATTAATTTATTTTTATTTTATTTATAAGTTCATGGAGGATAATCGGTCCATCAATGGCTTTTAGTCAGGATGGACAGGGATGGTGTCCCTAGCTTCTGTTAGCCAGAAGCTGGGATTGGGCAAGAGGGGATGGCTCACTTGATCATTACCTGTTCTGTTCATTCCCTCTGGGGCACCTGGCATTGGCCACTGTTGGAAGACAGGATACTGGGCAAGATGACCCTTTGGTCTGACCCAGTATGGCTGTTTTGATGTTCTTAACTCCATCCCAGAAATCACAGCCCTTGGCAGCATGTTTCTATTGCAGGGAAAGGAACAGTTCTCAGAAGGAAGAAGCAGGTGTGCTGCTCTCCACAAATGGGAAAGAGAGCTCCACAACATTCTGTGGTGGATTTCCAAAATACACTTTGTGCATGCCACAATGGGTGCATGCCTACTTTTGTACACAGGAATAGTTGTGGTTACAAGTGTGAATGCATGGAAGTGGGGTCTGAGATGAAGTCTATCCCTATAAAAGTGAATTACATGGGTATAGACAAGGTTGGTTCAAAACACATCTTGGGCCTTTGCCAATCCATTCTGTTGAGGGCCCTCTCCTATGTAGAGCGCTAAAACTCCCTCAATCCACGTTTATAGTAAGATTTTGAAAGGGGGTGCAGCTGCAAAAACAAAATGGACTGGGAGTTGGGGAAAGAAGAAAGGACCCAGAAATAGGGGCACAACCAACAAAACTGAAGTTCAGCAAGTGGCGGGGCTTAGGGCTGTGTGTGACATAGCGACACAGAATCTGGAGAGAGAAAAAAAAGAGCTTAGTGCCAGTTTTGTAGAGTGACAGCTCCAAAAAATGCCTCGTCTTCCTCCTCAGTCTGTACTGTACAGTGATCGCCTCCTCAGTCATGGAAGAGAAAGGAATTCAACTTGGTGAGAAAACCAATTAGTTAGAAAGCACACTTTGTAGGAAGAGCAGTGCATGTTTAAATACAGTCTTGACCAAGACTTCAATTAGTGTGTACAATAGAACAGTGGTCTCCAAAGTGGGATGCGCATACCCCAGGGGGTGCACAGCAGGAGGAGCACTTTTTTTTTTTTTTGCTTCGTCAGTTTGGGTGGGAGTCCGAGCTCAAAAATGGTAGAGCCGGCGCGGTAGGGGATGCATGCTCAAAAAATTTTTAATGATAGGGGTGCGCGATCAAAAAAGTTTGGAGACCACTGCAATAGAACATTCATTTTCTGTTGTGATAGGTGAAGAAGCAATATCTGCAACGGTAAAAAAAGGTACACCTTAGTGAAGTATGAATTGCACTATCATCTCCATTCCACTCCCCTGGAAAAATTAAAGATTAAAATGTTTTAAAAGCTGAAAGAATTATAACCAATAAGACATTTACATGGACAACATTTAAATTCTATAGTTGTATATAGAGATTCATATGATTCTAAGGCCAGAAGGAACCATTGTAATCATCTAGTCTGACCTCCGGTATAACACAGGCCACAGAACTTCTCCAAAACAAATTCCTAGAGCAGAATCTTTTAGAAAAAAAAACATCCAATATTGATTTTAAAATGGTCAGTGACAGAGAATCCACCATGCGCCTTGGTGAATTGTACCAGTGGTTAATTACCCTCATTGTTAAAAATGTGAGCCTTCATTCCAGTCTGAATTGATCTAGCTTGAATTTCAAGCCACTGGATCATGTTATATCTTTCTCTGCTATACTGAAGAGCCCATCATCAAATATTTGTTCCCCTAGAAGATACTTATAGACTGTAATCAAGTCCGGCATGCCATCACCCAGACAAAAATAAATAAATCACAAAACACCAGGCCTAGACGGCATCCCAGCTAAGGTTTTTAAAGCTGGTGGAACAATGCTCCAGCACAAACTTTACGAACTCCTCGACAAAATCTGGATCTGCCTGACTTTCTTCCACCTGACTTTAAGAATGCCAACACTTTTACAATATTCGAGAAAGGGGACAAATCTTTGTGCGGGAACTACAGAGGTATTGCCATCCTCTCCATCGCAGGGAAGACCCTTGCCCGGATCCTACTAAACCACCTCCTCCCCTTTGCTGAGGAACTCCTCCTCGAATCAACATGGCTTCAGGCCATCCCGAGGCACAACTGACATGATCTTCATGGCACAACAGATTCAGAAGAAGTGCAGAGAGCAACACCAGGAACTGTTCATGGCATTCATCGATCTAACCAAGGCCTTTGACTATCAATCGTGATGTCCTATGGAAGGTGCTGTATAAGTTTGGCTGTCCACAGAAATTCATTTCCATCATCAGACTAGTCCATGATAGGATGACTGCCACCATTCTGTGCAATGGCTCAGAGACCGAACCATTCATTATTTGCACTGGTGTCAAATAGGGCTGTGTCACTGCTCCAACATCCTTCTCCCTTTACCTTGCCGTGATCCTGATTCTCATCCATGACCGCCTTCCTGATGGAATCGGGATTGATTATCTGAGGAGTTGACCATCCATACATCTCCAACGTCTCCAAACAAAATCTAAGATCACAAGAATTGGCATCACTGACCTTCAGTATGCAGATGACTGCGTCATTCTTGCACACACAGAGGCTGACCTGCAAAGCACCCTAAATCTTTTTGCTGATGCCTATCACAGCCTGGGTCTCTCTCTCAACATCAGGAAAACCAAGGTACTCTACCAGCCCTCACCTGCACAAACTACTCTTTGTACTCCACAAATCACCATCAGCGGAGAATCCCTGGAAAATGAGTCTGTTTTTGAAGATTTGGACACAAATCTGACATCAAGAATTATAACATTAAAAAAACAGTAGGAGAACACTTCAATCTCCCTGGACATTCAATAATAGACTTTAAAAGTGGCAATTCTTCAACAAAAAAACCAGACTCCAATGAGGAACTGCAGAACTGGAATTAATTTGCAAACTGGACACCATCAAATTAGGCCTGAATAAAGACTGGGAGTGGATGGGTCACTACAAAAAACTAATTTCCCCCTGCTGATACTCACACCTTCTTGTTAACTGTTTGAAAAGGGCCACCTTGATTACATTGGCCTCATTAGCACTGCAAAAGTGATGTCCACCTCTTCTTGTCAACTGTTGAGAATAGCCCACTTTCATCTTAATTGAATTGGCTTGTTAGCACTTACCCCCCCAGTTGGTAAGGCAACTCCCATCTTTTCATATGCTGTGTATTTATACCTTTCTACTGTATTTTCCACTCCATGCATCTGATGAAGTGGGTTCTAGCCCACGAAAGCTTATGCCCAAATAAATTTGTTAGTCTAGGGTGCCACAAGGACTCCTCGTTATTTTTTCTTAAAAAGGCATCAACCCAACAAACTGGGAGGACTCGGCGCGGAACAGAACATGGTGGCGCCACACCATACACCAACCCACAGCTCACTTTGAGGAGAACAGACGTGCTCATGAGACAGAGAAGTGACAAAGGAGGAAAGAAAGGGCACAACAGTCCAGCCAACTACTATGTCTCCTCCAAGATTACACCTGTCACTTCTGTGGGAAAATCTGCAGGGCACAAATTGGGCTCCTCAGCCACTTAAAACCCACCAACAAACCCCCTTGGCAGACATCATCCTCGCATTGAGGGATAGCCGAAGAATCAAGTCACCCCTTAACCGTCACTTTGTTAAGCTAAATAGATTGAGCTCCTCGAGTCTATGACTATAAGATTTCTAATCCTTAATCTTGTAAGGGTGATAGGTAGTTACATGGCGTTATCCTTTCTCTCTAACATCCCAGCCTCTTTCCTATCATATTATTTTGGTGGTAAATTGCTGAGAGTTTTGCTCCTCTCTGCTTCATCTCTCAGAGGTGACCATAGGGCTCTTGGTAATTTCTAGCTTTATTGTCAAAACACAGATGATCAACGTATGCAGGATTGTGGCTTGTGTAAAAAGGAAATGGCTGATTCCCTTCACAATATAGGAAGTGACACCACCTTTCCAATTTTGTTAAAATTGCCATCTTTGTTTTCTTCTTAAGACAATGAATTTGATGCACAATGCCTCAGCCTTTGATATGGTATTATGGTCTCTTCATCTGCCTATCCATGCATACTGTACAATATTATCTTGCATGGTCCTGTAATATCACACAAGAGCCATATGTCAAAATCATCAAATTTGGGTGCTTAAAGTTATGCCCCTGAACTTAGGTCAGTGGGATCAGGCCATACTCAATGCTTCTGAAGATTGTTAAGTGCAGAGTCAGAAAATTTTGGCTTTGTATTTTAAGTCAACACCAACTTTTTTTCTCTAATCTAGTGCTTTCCCCACACTACTCCCTGTGAAACTGCCAATATGGTATGGCTAATACCCAACGAAGTACTAATGAATAGTTTTCCACATATCTTATGCATTCACAATATATTCTCTTGTGACCTCAGGTATATACAGTTAACTTTATACACAAGGGCTTATGGCAGGAGGGCCTACAGCACAGTACCGTAAGTTATAGGCACTTACCACTACTTTTGGTCGTAAAAGTAATGACTCCTGCTCTATAACCTCTCAGTGACTCACTTGCTAGTTATGAAATCAAACCTGTGACGGATTGTTTTATGTTACTATTTAACTGAACAGGTAGTTATTAAACTCCCCCCGCCACCCGGCCTTGCACGTCTAAACAGGACTCAAATATGGAGCACTAGATCTTCTCCTATTGCTTTGTCTGTGACAATGGTGACTGACATAAGCACTGGTGCTGCCCTGCAGCCTATGTGCAATTCCATCTTTTGAGGAATAGAGTTAAATCAATTCCCAGAATCAGCTCCTTTGCCCATTGTCAAGAAGTGTGCAACCATCATGCATTGCAGGAGAGACCAATGTAAAGTTTTTAGAGCAGCAGACGTGGCCCAGTTTTACAAAGAAACAAGATAAACAGATTGTGTTTTGAGAGTTCTCCTTGGCTGCTCTAAAACCGCTCTGTTGTTTACTAACGGAACCTGTGTCTACCTGACTACAATGCGAAAAGCTGAAGGATTCACAATAAAATGTATATGGTCAGTTATAGTTTCTCTGGCTGTCAGATAAAGACTAGATCAGCAGCTATTCTAAAATGCATGGATAGCTACAAGCCAGAACACAGCACAATGGGCAATTTCCTGATGCTGGCCAGGAAGTTTTCTGTCTAAGCTGCTTGGCAATCAAAAATTGGGGTTTTGACTTAACTAAATTTTTCCACAAAAAGAGGTCTGCTTTTTGGCTTTGAGATGAAAATTTTCCCATTTTTGGTTCTTCACTGAAAAGTCAAATTTGTCCCACAGGGGGGAAAAACAAAACATTTTCCTATTAAGTCTACTGTTTAGCTCCAGAGGGGCACTTAGTAAAGGGAAAATCTTGCACTAGATTGAGTGATACCAAGCCCTTACAATTCACATTGACTTCAGTAGCTCCCAACATCTGCTTCACAGGAAAGCAATGTAATGAGAATCTACGTTTGGTTGGATTCTACTGCTATTTTGTTAGTGATATTTCACCCACCTCTTGCTGACAAGCGTTTCCCAATGGTGCAGTTTGCCTTTGGCTGAGACAGTGCATATACAAAGAAACGGTACTTTTACAGCAAAATAAGTGCTACTGGCCTGTGTAGCTGACTGTTGTCGGACATGACTGCAAACTGAAGATATGCAATGTTGTTGTAACCACCTACCCACCTGGTCTCTCTGCAAACTGAAGAGACAGCTAACCAAAGGAAGATAGGAAGGGGGGATGGAATAGCAAATACGATGAATCGTTGGTTTTTGATACTGATCAGTATTCTCCGGCTCAGATTTTCCTTTTTTGTGTAAAAACCTTCCAGTATAACTTATGAGAGAGAAAAGTTTTTAAAGTTGTCACTACCCACTTTCAGCGCATATTCAGTGACTGTGAGTTAACATCTTGTCCTGCTATGGTATGGCCTTTTGGTATACACAAGCAGATGGATTGCAGTGTGCAATGAATCTCTTGGGATCAGATGGAATCATTACAACAATAACTTACCCTTGCCTGCATAGTGAAAACCTCTGAGTGGTGCCAGAGGTGGCACATATCTTGTTTAGAGTGCAAGGGAAATCCCCAAAGGCAAAGCTCACTCTGTTGTGCCATTCGTATGAAGTATTGACTTTTTTTGTCCAACTCATTCTCTGGTAATTAGAATTTTAACAATTCCAGTCAGTGTCTTACTGAATGCAATTAACAGAAATATAGAAGTAATACCTTACCATTTGTCCGTGAGCAAAATAAAGGTTTACTTCCAAAACTGAATCCATCACAACAGGCATTTGTGGAGAATCAGGGAGAGAGAGATTGATACTCCTGTACTTTCAGCAACAGTTGGATTTTAAGTAATCCATCTTCTCTGTAGTCTGAAACGTCAAGGCCTCAGTGCTGTGTAGATTTCAGAATTGTATAGGAAACCTTAGTCTTGAAACGCTAATGCTCAATGAAGCATTGACAGTTCAAGAGCAGAAGCCTTGAGGAGTTAGACTAGAGACTGGAGTGATTATATAAAGTGTGGATAATTCTGACACCAACCATGCTCCCTACCTTCCCTCCCCCATGCCCCAAAACCTTGTTGCATTATTATTACAGCATAGGAATCATGGGGATGTAGTCTTTGGATGGCTTGGTATGGGGGAGGGGGGGAGAACAGGATAGAGACCATTTTGTATTTTAAAAGAATGCTTTTTATATTAAGTTCTATCAGAAGGGGATGGAATAGCCACAGCCAAGCTCAGGTATTTGTTTCAGCAAGCATCCCTTTGCTTAGGAGCTCTGAATTGACACAGTCTTGATTCTAAAGGCTTAGGCCTGGTCTACACTAACACCCCAATTCGATCTAAGGTACGCA